CGGATTTTTTAGGAACGCCAAATGAATTGGGAGGAAAAGTATTCTAGCTACAGCCTTCAAACATTGCATGCTTCGTTTCATTGATATTCTTTACAAAATTCAAGAGGCTTTTTTAATATACCGGGTATATCCAACTAGAAAAGGTTTATAACATTTTTACATCTGCTACTCCTGAAGAGTTCTCGAATATTTATGTGACCCCCACATACATGCTATTTGTAACACTCCCAATAACTGCTGTGTAATAGCTTCTTTAAACTTTATGTCAATGTTATTCTTAATGTGTATGCCAAGTTTCATTTAAAATACAGTACACTAAGTTACAATACAATGCAATACAAATTTGTCTTTATTCATTTTGCGTAAAAGTCAAAATTGGTATAAAATATTTAATTTTTTGCAATAAAAGTCACAACAAATTTGTTTAAAATAAACTTTAGTGGATTTTTGTCTTTCTGTTTGTGTATGGTTTGTATGTACTATATTTTTTTCAATGGCTCTATTTATTTAGGGTTATCAGTATTTTATTTTCAATGTGGCATGACTTAGTTGCCTTGAAACCAAACTCCCTTCACAGATCACATATATTTGCTCCCACTCAATCATTACATCTGTACTTAAATGAAGAAATGATACAAACAATAGTTAACTGTACGGTTACCAACAAGGAATGTGAGAAAGTAAAAGGAGACAAATGGCAAAGGAATGATGTGACCTAATTGAATGAGTTTATTGGCTGCCTACTCCTTACTGGCCCCTAATTTATTTTATGGATTACTTGAGTACACAACTCAAATAACTAACAACCAAACAAAAATGTTCTCAAGTCAGTTAAGGTTTTTTTTATATTAAATTTTAAATTATGTACAACTGTTAGACCCAGTAGACAGATATGGTAAAAAAAAAGACGAGCCCTCCAAAAATAAATCTCTTTCTCATGCTTTATACAATGGCATCCTTTAACTTTAAGATGTTCATTGCAACTACCTTGTGAATTAGGTCAAGTCAAATGTGAAAAGTTGTTGAAAGGAGATTCGAGATATCAGAAAAAACAGTCAGTGTCCGCATGTATGACTCCCAGTGCCAAGGAAAAAGTTTAAAATTGGTGGTTTTGTTCTGACTAAGCAAAGCTCTCTAGAGGAATAGTTGAAATTAATTCACTATGAATGCAATTTTCTTTATTTAGAATACCTATTAATTCATAAACTACTGTGTGATTAAATCTTTTAACTTAAACAATACACATAAATAATCTTACATAAAGGATTTAATTTTAATAATAAAATTAATATTATTACTTTTCTAAAATCCAAATGAAAACAATAAATGTATGTAAATCATCTTCATTACTAGATTTTTTTTTAAAATGATCTATGAAAATGGATTAAACTAAAAAAGAAAATAGGAAAGAAAAAAATCTACCCGTCCTAAGTGAAATTAACATAGCAAAAATAAAAAAACAACTAAAAAGAATAAAACTATGAATCCATGAAATAACAAGGAGAAAAAACAATTTAAAAAAAAAATTATCTTACTATTATTGTTATCACACCCGGCTCCGTAGCCATTTAATCTGTACGGAGCCACTCCGGTTGCGAATAGAGTAAGTATAAAATGCAATTCGCATAAATATTAGATCTTTGGGTCCCCAAACAGTTTTGGGAACTCCTAGTTTAAACATTAAACAAATGAATAATATTTTTCCATTGGCATGGTACTATGAGAATGAAATCCCATTATTATGATCCAATCCCTCGTGAAAATTCTAATTTGTAAAATAATCGCATAAAATTCATAAACAGATCAATTTTATCAAATTCACAAAGTCCTAAATTCTAAATTCACGTTATTCATGATATTTATTTTATAACAATTTAAATCCTCTAGTTTCTATTCATTGAAGTTCAAGCTATATAAATGAAAGGTTTTTTTATTAATGTGCAAAATAAATAGTACTTATACTGTATTGTGAGACTCACATACTAAATGAAATAATATTGTACGTTTCAAAAAATAGTTAAATTAACAACAATTTTATTAAAAATCAACAACTTTGCACATAATTGGTTTTATAGTAATCGTCTAACACTATTAATATTATTATTATTGCTCATGATTATCTTTTAAAAAAACAGTTCATTACTATAGGTAACATGTACTTAAAAGTTGTATGTCCCCAAAAGACATAATAGAGTCTGTTTTCCTTTAATTTTTATAGAAATTGCGCGGAATTTACCTGCAAATTATTTTGTAATACAGCTGGTGGAGTTAGTCTTTGGTCAGAGGTAGGCCGAGGACATAATCGGGGCCATCTTAACAGCAGTGGGGGGAGGGTGGGGGGTCCTGGGCAAAGTACTACAATGAGGCCCCCTATTCCTCTATGACCTTCTAACCGTGGTCGGCAAACTCATGAGTCAAAAGAGTCAAAAATCAACAGCAGGGCGATTAACATTCTAATGAGAGCCAAATTTCTTTTCAAGAACATGTCAAGAACCATGTTTTTCGGAATCAAGACCGATTTGTGGCCGACTGGTCGAGCCGCATTCAGTTCGCTAAAGAGCCGCATGCGGCTTGCGAGCCGCGATTTTCCAGCCACTGTTTAAACCTATTCAAGATAATATTAGGAAGGCCCATGAGTTAAGGCTAGGTTTTTTTTTTTCCAGACAATTTCATCGAGGGGGGGGGGGGGGG